GTCTTATCTTATCTGCAATTTTAAACAATGAGCTTTTGAGGAATTAGAATTATCACTTTAACTAGCGTAGTCGGGCGTAGAAATCCCATATAAATTAGTAGGAGATCGGAGTTCGATTGAAAAAAACACAGTCGGTACGATTTTGACTCGTTTGAAATTGCTATTTCTTAAGCGATGGAGGTGCCAATTTCGAACGCAGCAGGGCGTAAGCCATCTTGCCTCTCGCACCGACGCTTATGCGTGCGAGCGAGACATCCGATGAAATGCGGCACATTCGACGTTCCCGAATGGCAAAATTAGTTTCAATGATTTGGAGCAAAGAGTTGGCCTTTGCAGCGAAGCACGCCTCTGAAGATGCCAACGGTGCATGCTAGCGAAACATCAGGATCAAATCCAAAAAATTATCAATTGCCGAACTTGAGAATGTAAGAACGGTTCAATTCGATTTTGAATTCTATTTCTGTAGATGTACGCTCGCTTCGTGAAAACGCGGGGGTTTCCCGATGGAAAACTGTCTATTCCAACAATAAAAATAATAATGAACTCACAGTCCACAGTAATGTTTTGGCTAAAAGTTGCATAATTTTTTATTCGACTTTCACGATTGTGATCGTTTGTACGATGAGCTTTAGGACACTTTGTGCGCTCTGGACGATTGTTTCGGTGCCAAAAAAACGTTCAAAAGCCATCCACTGGTCAAGTGCTGAACTTTCATATCAAGGGAAATTTCTGGCAACAGTTTGGCCGGCAGTTTTGCCAATTTTCAACATTTCCATCCTGTCGACTGCACTGGAACTCCGACATGTAAATATAGGAATGAAATGGGAGACTAAAGCGGAAGAATTACGTCATAGCTGGCGTGTTTTAGCCCATTTCCTCTGCGATCGCGTGCTGAAGGAACAATTTGGAAAGTCGAATTTTTTCACCGAGAAACTTCCATGTTCTCGACCAGCGTTTTTTCGCCAGTTTTCCACCGAACTTGCCTGGTATTTATCAGTATTAATCAAAGCCAATTAAGTTAGAAATGAGCCACATTTAACAGTCTTGTAAAAATTATCACCTGTTAATGCGTCTCATGGTCAGCCAGAGGCATTTGTAATGGTGTTGAGCTACATATGTCGAAATAAATTGCTGAAATTATCGCATTTATGTCATCTATAAATGGCATAAAATTTCCAAGTTGGAAACAAATATCAGCAGCAGTAGCAGATGCTGTTGAAAACCCACTTCAGATACAAAAAAGCTCGCAGTTTCCACTCATTGAGGTGAATATCAGCTGTAATATATTTATTATAGGAACAATTGAAAGGAACTAAGAAACCTCTTTCTTTAAGTCGCAATTGGAACATGACACACTCTAGATGGGCAAGATTAGTGTCTGGACTTTTGTCGATCGATGCAAATTTGCAACAATGATGGGCAGTTTTGCATGGCCATTCTATTGATTTTGTTGCGATAAATGTGGTGATCTCATCAAACTGCGGGTGGGCATTCGGGCTTTACGGTCCTTGATTGCAAGAAAGTATTCTTGACCCACTAAACATCGCTAACTGGTCAAGTGGACATCATGAGTGCTGCAGAAAATCAGAAAAAAGTGGAGGAAATTTTTGTTTTTCTATCTTAACTAATGCTATTCCCAAATTCGATGGCTCATCGAGACTCATCCTGTTGATTTGTTATGGTTTCGCTAAGTGAAATGGACCCTGAGGTGTTGATTTGTTTTATTTGTCTAAAAACTATTTATTTTCTTAAAATGTTTGTTTTATTCCTATTGGCGTCTCTAGGCGTAATACGTCTGAATGCGGTTATTTTTGTTAAATCCTCCGAAGAGTATTTTAGTTCCGCATTAAAACCATTTTCCACAATTTTCAAATTTAAACTACTTTCATTTATTAGATATTATTTTATGATCGATTTGGAACCCATTTTTTCTCCGATTTTCACCCATTTCAAGTTCTCATTAGCAAATGAGCGGTCAAAAATTGCCTGATGATGACTTAAAATCGAAACTTTTTTCACATGTAGATCGTATTTTGCTTTACAACACACACTTGCAAGTACATCAGCAGCTTCACTGCTTTCTCAGA